GGAAGGAAGGTTGGGCAATCCTACTTCCATAGTGATACTGCCTCGGAAACCCAAGGAGGGGTCGCTATGAGTCGGGGCCAATTCGACGGCACATAACAACAACAACAACAGTCCTTGATTTATACATGCCAATTTGTTTCTCATAAGTTTCAGTTGGTTTCATATACATATTTTTATATGAATGTTTACTCCTTCCTTTAAATATTTGATGGCCTTAAATATCCCTATTTTCAAATAATTTTCAAGATAGCCCCATGATTTCTATTTCCTTGGAAGTAGTTAGCCTTTTGTTAACTTTGCTGTCTTTTCTTAGTTTCCTTTATGCAATGGGATTTTAACTTGCAAAGTCATTCCAAATGGGAGTTCCTTTCTACACATTTATCCCATTGTGTCTGGTGGTTTTGTTAATATCTACATTCACCTCCTCCTCCTCAGTTTAGTTCTTCCACAGTTCTTACATTGACTGGTAGCTGGAGGCTCGTTTTTTTTAAGAGAGGCATTGTAGGTTTTCTGATCCAGTTATCTGTTGGGAGCGTCTCAGTTCTTTTAGATGATTCTAGGCTAGAAGCCTAGAAGCATAGTCAGCAGTTTTGTTGTTGTTGTTGTTTTGTTGTGAGTAGGCTCATCTCAGCTACTTGTTTCACAAACATAGGGAGCACATAGTTCTTGTCATCCCAAAGGGGTTGAACTTTTAGTCTACATAGCCTGTTTCCTGACTTAACATCTAGTAAGCCTACATCTTCAGATGCTCTCTGTTATACTCCATAGAAATATTTATCTTGTTTTGGATTTTGTTTGGGTTTGGGTTTGGGCTTAGTATTCTAATGTTTTAAAAATATTTTATCCATAGTTGTGGGAGCTGCTAGTAGAGAAACAGGAAGAAAAGAGTGGAACATTCATATGTGTCTTCTCCATCATCTTCACTAAAATGAGGATAAGACATACTTGAGGAATTGGAAAAGATTAGGAAGGGCTTGGAAAAACTTGTATGTTGACTGTCTAAGCACCTAGGAAATTAATATTGAGCCTATATTCACCAGACTAAGAATTGGCTAAGAATATGCCAGTGGTGATTTTGTTCTCTGACAATCTATTTAACATTGTACTCTGATTCCAGAGGAACACACAGATTCCAGCTGAACCATAGATCTTTGTTTTCTTTGTTCTTTTGTTTCAAACTCCAGAATCTTTGCTGGGTTAAACATTAACTTACACTTGCAGGTATAGTTCAATAAGTTAAGGACGAGAAGTCTGTTCATGGAAAGCCAGGTAGGAAACTTGCCTGTGAAGCAGCGTCTCCTGATTTCCGTCCACCACGTTAACAATATCGCTATCACCAGAGTAGGAGGATATCATCAATTTAACAATCTCGGTGGCTCCCTGGGTGGCAGCAAAATGAAGGGGTGTGCACTTCCCATTCTGTGAACAGTGTTGATACCAGAATCAATGTTTAAATCTCAATTTAAGGCTATAGTATAATTTCACTTAAGTTTTTTCATAGACCAACAAAATCAGTATATAGAATTTAAGATGATGGATAGTGATCAGTTTGATCTACTGAAAGGCATCAATATAAATATTATAGGTACCAATTGTGCTCCCTTGAAATCTGGCATGTCTTAATGTGTACTTCTACCATTGTTACCTGGATGATTCTCTTCTAGAAGTGTAAGAGTCACTGTTACTACAAATACCCAGTGTATAAAGTAAATTCAGATCCTTAGTCATTAATACCAGCTCTTCCTTTCTACATTGAAAGGATTTAAAGGTAGTTCCTCTCTTCCTAATCTCTTCATCCTCCAACAATGGGTGGACTTTGTAGCAGTTGGGAGGTAAGCATGGTCTCACCCAAAAGTCCCAAAGGACTTGTCACCAAGCCAGATGAAGGGAAGCCACAACTTTACTTTGAGTCAGTGATGACTGGCCACAGGTAAGAACCTTAGCTGTGCCTTTACTTTCACAAACCAAAACCAAACCAATCCCACTACTATTGAGTTGACTCCCACTCACAGTGACACTATAGGACAAAGAAGAATTGCCCATAGCTTTTCCAAGGCTGTAAATTTTTATGGAAGCAGATTGCTTCAATCTTTCTCCTGATGAGAGTATGGTGAATTCAAACCGCCAACCTTTTTGTTAGCAGATGAATGGCTTAACCACTGCATCACCAGAGCTCCTCTTTTACATACAGGTCCTTATACATTAGTTAAGCTTGTTCTCAATTTAAAATATGAAAGAACTATAAACACAAAAAGTTCATGGGCAGGCTTTAATGTTCCTGACTGAAAATGTTAACATTTGAATGTTGGTCTTAATGTATTTCATGGCAGTTAAACTGGATATATTCTTTATTGCACCTGCATTTATGGCTGCAATTGTTTGTGGTAGCTCCCCAAATTCTTTACATAGGTTGAAAGATGGCATATTTTCTTGTCTTGCTTCTCAATATCTATTTCCCTCTTGCTGTATTGACACAGTACCTAAGGCATTTGACTGCTAACCAGAAAGCTAGCGGTTTAAACCCACCAGCCACTCCTTGGAAGGAAGATTGGGCAATCTACTTCCGTAGAGTTACTGCCTAGGAAATCCAAGGAGGGGGCACTATGAGTCAGATCCAACTTGACAGCAATGGGTTTGTTTGCTTTTTTGGTATTTATCTTCATGTGCCTTGGTGGTACAGTGGTTAAAGGGCTTGGATGCTAACCAAAAGTTTCACAGCTTGAACCCATCAACCACTACTTAGGAGAAAATGTGGCAGTCTGCTTCCATAAAGATTATAGAAATCCTTTAGTTCTACTCTATCCTATGTTCTACAGAGGTCCCTGAGTGGAAATCAACTTGATGTTTTTTTTTTTTTTTTTCTTTTTTTTCTCAGTATGCATTTTGAATCTAAATTAACTGTAAAAGTGCTATAAAATATTTTGGAAAACAATTTATATGATAATTCTAAAATGAAAGTGTTATATAACAGGAATAATTACCTCCACCAGATCTATCTGTGCACCATTGTCTAGGCACATTTTGATCATTTCCAAGTCGCCACTTTGAACTGCCATGTGGAGAGGGCTATGTTTTCCATTATTGACAAAGTTAATATGAAACTGTCTACTATATCCCAGTTCTTCACCTTTGGAAGAAAATAAAATTCAAAGTAACATAAATATTTAAAATCCATTGAAAAACAAAATGCAATCACTGCTTTGGAGTAAGATCTAATTCATAATGACATCTCCTTGGGTTTCTGAGGCATTATCACTGTGGAAGTAGATTGCCCAACCTTCCTTCTGAGGAGTGGCTGGTGGGTTTGAATGGCCAACCTTCTGGTAAGCAGTCAAATGCCTTAGGCACTACATCACCAGATCTGTAATAGGAATTAAAAAAAGAAAACATTTAAACATGCATAAAAGTCTGCATGTAAATTCTATCAAATACTTTTCAAATTAAGGTGCTCTGGTGGCATAGAGGATAAGGCATTTGGCTGCTAACCAGAAGGTCAAAGGTTCAAACCCACCAGAAGGAAGATGGGCAATATATTCGCACAAAGATTTACAGCCTCAGAAACCCAGTGGGGGTCACTATGCATTAGGATTGACTTGATGGCAGTGAGTTTGGTTTATTTTTCAAATTAATAGCATCCCCCAAAGCCTCTACTCACCAAACTTTAGTAGTATTTCCATGCATTTTTTGGCACCTGAAAATGCAGCCTGATGAACAGGGAAGCTTCCCCATTTATTTGGTACGCAAAACTTGGCTCCTTTATTTAACTGGATGGTGGGGGAAAAAAACGAACCAAAAAAGTTAAATGTCGTGAGTTAAACCTCAGACCACAAGGGTGAACAAGGATTCATTTGTCTCCCAGACTGTATTTTAAGGCTTTAATCCTACTATATTCCTGAACTTTGCAATTTATGTAAAAATACCTAGAAAAAACTTCATATGCTGGATAATCTAGGCAAGAAAGTAATTTTGAAGCTAGGACAAGATTCTGACAGAGAGACACTTTATATTTTTTATCTGTCCTTTCCAAATGAAGTATATAGACACAAAATATGAGTAAAATACCCAGAAAACTAAAATTAATACATTTTCAATGGGATTAATGAGAACATTTTCAACATTATCATGACTTTTCTTATACAAATTTTCAATTCTTTATGCAAATAAAGTAATATTTTTCAGACCCTTTCTTCTTCATTTATGTAAAATTAATAAATGATTAGACCAGTGCTCTTGGTAAACTATGGAATTAGATATTTTCACTCATGGAAATTCTTTACTAAAAAGAACAACTATTATATTATTTTTCTATGTGAGCCAATGATTTTCAACCACCTTCCCCTAAAGACTATCAAACTGCAGTTTTGTTTTAAATACTTATCACTGAATATCTTCTATTTTCACAAAATAAAAGATGCTGAAAGGGCAGAAAAGTGTGAAAAAGTAAATACCACCTTTAATCTCACCTTCCAGAGATAGAATCAGTTTACATTTTAGAAGAGAGTATTTTTTTTAAGACTTGTTTCTTGGCATATGTAATTTTTATCATACTGCTCATAAAAACTTTTCCTTAACAATATTATTTATGATAAAGAATATGATTTTAATATTCAAGTACATATTTTTAATGGTTTATCAAGTACATGATTTTGTCAAGGGCATTTTTGCATACATAAAACTATATAATCAATCCCTATTAGTGGACTTTTCTCCAGTTTTCTCAGGCACTGAGGGCATATCTTTAATCATGGTACTTTGTTATAACTTTAATTATGTCTTTCAAAGATATTCCAAGCATGGGAATCGATGAGTCAAAAGGAGTTCCCACCAGCAGTGAATGAAATTTCCTGACTCATCAAAATTTCTCTAATAGTGATTATCAACAAGATTCTTTCATCCTTTAAAATTAAGAGGTGAAAAATACGACATTACATTCCTTTGTTTCTCTTTACTAGAAAAATTACTTAAACTTTGTGTATTCTTTGCTAATTTTTCTGTTGGAACATGGTCATTTTCTTACAGATTTGTAGATGACTTGCTAGATAAATAGATAGGTGCATATAACCATAGGTCTCCTCAGGCCAACTGATGTACGTCAAGCAATGCATTTTCTAATATTGAACTGCTCTGGTGGCATAATGCCTAAGACATTTGACTGCTAATCCAAAGGCTGGTGGTTCAAACCCACCAGCCACTCCTCTGAAGGAAGACTGGGCAATCTACTTCTGTAGTGATACCACCTCAAAAACCCAAGAAGGGGTCTCTATGAGTCGGATCTAACTCGACAACAGTGCGTTGTGTTCATTTGCGTATACAGTCCTTGGACAAGGCCAACACAGTATGGAGTGTTACTCTTTTAATAATTTTGATGAAATAATATGCTAGTATTTTATTTAAGATTTTGTATCTATGTGTATGTATATGTGAAATCAGTCTACACTTTGCTTGTTGGGTGAGGTACCAAGATTTAGAATTACTGTTATGATTCACTTTAATTTTCTCATATTTTCTTTCACACTTTTGTGTTAGTCTTCTGTAACAATTAAGGAGTGTGTGTATACACTCCCTGAACATACAGAAAACTTTTTTCTGACATATCTGTATTTCACATTTTGCTAAGGAGAGAAACTGGAAGACCTATTGTAAACATCAACAATGACCCATGCTGCACTAATGAAAAATAAAGAAAGAAGAAAAAAGCAATTAATATACAAACCAAAATTGTCAGTGCTTCACTATTATCTTTGGAACATGCATTTATAATAGCTGTGTTTCCATTTTCTCCTTCCAAATTAATATCAGTACTTCTGTGCTCCAGCAAGGCCTACACACAGAAAAAAAAAAAAATAAAGTAGAATAACTGTCAAAAAGATAACTCCAGATTTTGAAATAGGATATTATATCTTCCACTAGATCATAAGCCTGCCAATGCCAGGCACCATATCTTATTCATCTTTATATCTTTCCATCCTCACACAATAAAAATTTTCTGGCAAATAATCTTGCACATAATGGCTGCTAAATACATTGCTCAAACAGAAATAACATTTATTTCTCTATTACATCAATTGAGACAATGCTGAATTATAGAACTGAAAAAACCAAAAAACAAACTCACTGCCATCAAGTCAATTAGACTCATAGTGATTTGACTCATACCAACCCCTCTTAGGGTTTCTGAGGTGCCATCTCTATGGAAATAGATTGCCCAATCTTCCTTCCAAGGAGTGGCTGGTAGGTTTGAACTGCCAGCCTTCTGGTTAGCAGTCAATGCCTTAGGCACTACACCACCATTGGAAAGAGAGTAAAAATGGAAGATATTTACTAATTCTCTCAGTACTTCTCATTTTAGTGAACTATGTTAACCAATAGTCTGCATACAATAAAGTTATGGATCCATTTGGAATATATGTATGAAAGAAAGGGAAGAAGTTTTTTACCACCCCACCCCGGCCCCCTATAATTTTTGTTTTATCAAGATTGCAAGCATTCTGGAAAATACCAATTGAAATTCCTTTCTCTTTACTAGAGAAAATAGTTTGCTGTGACTTTGGCATAGATTAACTCAATTAATTCAAACCTGTTCTGGAACAGTTTCTTAGGGAAACTGGTACTGTAATGGGTAAAGCATTCAACCAAAGGCTGCTAACCAAAGGTTGGTGGTTCAAACTCACCAGCAGATTCATGGGACAAAGATGAGGCAGTCTGTTTCCATAAAGATTTACAACCTTAGAAACCCTATGGGGCAGATCTACTCTTTCCTATAGGGTCATTATGAGTTGGAATCGATTTGATGGCAGTGGGAAGATGTAAGAATCAGCAGCCCTGACAAAATGGTCAAGCAATTTTTTAATGGAATTTAATTGAAAATCTCTTATTCTCTCACTTGATTGACTATCAGTCAATTGTTGTTGTTGTTATGTGCTGTCGAGTTAGACCAGACTCATAGCGACCCCTCCTTGGGTTTCCAAGGTGGTACCACTACGGAAGTAGATTGCCCAACCTTTCTTCTGAGGAGTGGCTGGTGGGTTTGAACCACCAGCCTTCTGGTTAGCAGTCAAGTGCCTTAGGCACTACGTTACCAGAGCTCCCGCCAGCCTATTACTGGCCAAGAATTTATATATCTTTAACCAGTCTTTACTTTACATTCAGGGTAACAATAATTGTCTCATAAAGTGTCTCTCTGAAGAGAAAAATCTCTGAATTGACCTACTGAAGACTTTTTCTCTTATAGCAAGACTATACACACACACACACACACACACACATATGTACATATATATGTGTATATGTATGTATATATACACACACAAACCTATGTAGTGTTATAACACTATAACACATAATCAAAATTAAATTCTTCAAAAAACTTTTTTAAACAGGAATTTTCTCAAAAACCTTGATTGCAAATTAAAAAAAAAAAAAAGCATACGATATCCTACCAGAGCCCTTTTTAATAAAATGGCCTGAAGTGTCAGCAAAATAATTAGGCCTACTAATTATTACTGCTCATAAAAATAACAATTATACTGAAATTTCAGTATATGAGAACATATAAGGACATTATTGAGGGAGGAAGGGAAATGGGGACACACAGGTCATTCTATCGACTTAAGTACTCTCATTTTCTATACCTTAGAAACTACAGATTCACACATCAAGCAATCTACCAAAGTATATTATAAATGACTATAAGAAGAGATTTTCCTGTCTTAGAATTATAGATCATTAAATTTGTAATATCATGCATTACTAATGTACTATAATAAGCACAATCTGTTAATAAGCTGTGTTAAATTATATATGGCAGGGGTCACAGAGAAAGCAACTTAATTGGGCATCCACTTCAATTCAATCATTACCTGCCTAGTCTCAAAGCTTAGCAAATGATCCCTCTACGGATCTCTTAGATGAAAATCTAAGAAGTGTCATGGGAAGGTAAAAATACTGAATACTATGAGTTTTAACTCCAAGGACTAAGGCTTGTAAGCCACTGAGAACCAAGGGCCACTCCCTAATTCTGAGGCCAATGTGCTCTAAGGAACAGTATTCATGCTACCAGTTGCCTGTGCAGGAGTATTAAGTGATACAGGGGTAACACTTATTCTTACTTTAAAACTGTATGGGCAGCTGTGGAAGGTTTGGAGGAAGGTTGGTGGAGCAGACAGTGGAGAAGCACTCTAAAATGAAAAGGGCTAGTGGGGCATCCCTGCAAGGCTGGCCTCTGGGCATAACTGGGAGAAGTAGGCCAGTATAAGACTACTGCTTGCAAGCACACATGGGGCAACCCAAAATTCCTTTTCCTCCTTTTCTTTTCCTCTTATCTTTGTAAGACAGAGGGATTTGGAAACATTTCTAGATGCATTTGTAGTTGGTAAGACCAAATATGAAAGAGACAATTTCACTTTGGTTACACCTATTTTTCTTTTCTTTCTAGTGTCACCCAGGACATTCTCTGCTATATCTACCATCTAGTTCGTAAATCAAATATGGGCTTATTTCTGAACATTTTTTTCTGTTTCTATGTGATATCTACCATTCTTTATTTGCTGGTCTGATGATTTATGATTTCTAATTAACAAGAGTCTTTTAACTGCTACTTGCCTTTGAATTCCCAAATCACACTTTCATAGACAAGATTAATTAAGTCAATAGATATTTGTTTCTGAAAAGAACTTTCAGAAGAAACTCCACAGGGAACCACATTAATCTCTAGGGAATCCCAGCCTAAGTCTCTAGTGGCCCAACCCAGATGACACAGAAGCTGTCCCTGGCTCATGAATAATATAGACTTTAAAGAAAAAAAAAAAAAAAAAAAGTCTGTTGTCAGAAATAACCTTCTCAGAGCCTGCTCCTGCTGACAGAACCCTCACCCACCTTCTTGTGTGCTGATATCTCACTCTCCCCTTCTTCAGCCAGTATCTCTATATATCCATTCATTCCATTCAACAACCATCACTTACCAGCACTACTTTGATTTTAGATTGGTAAGACATGGTCCTTCTCCTTTGAAAGACATACTGGTGAGTGGAGGAGAAAAGCACATAATGAAAATTTTATGTGTGCTAGGTGTTATGAAAGAGCTACTGTGGTGTAGTAAATTACCTGGTATGGCTTTTCTAGCCATAAGTCTTTGTAAACTCCGAGGTGGAATTTGCTGTAAGCAACTGAAGAACTTCTGATTGTTAAAGTTATCCACCTGAGGTATTTCTGTTAAGAGAGGCACAAAGCAATGTTCCAAGAAGTTCTCTCTCTCTCAGGTGTATAGAATTCCTTATGTTATGATTGGTTAGTTCAGCTACTCTGCCAGGCTCAAAGGAGCCCTTTTAGAGGCAGAAGGAGTCTCTCTGACTGCTGGCTGAGAAAGATGTGCTGCTGAGAGAAATGTGCTCCTGAGAGACACGCGCTGCTGAGAAAGAGACACCAAGGGACACGTGCTGCTGGGAGACAGACTGAGAAAGACTGTTGGCTGGGAGACGGCAGGCTGGGAGAGACTTAGCGTTTTTCTTGAACTTGAATTATAGCCTGTTGCTTTCCTAATAAACACCATAATCTGTGAGTTCTGTGTGGCCACTGCAGTGAATTATCGAACCCAGCAGAAAAGTTGTGGGTGTTGTGGGAGGGACGGTTGGTGAAAGGGCTGGAGGGAGGCAGCATGTCTGGCCTCTCAGGAATAGGCCTTGGGCTACTGATGGTGATTCTGTCTTCCTCTTGTGGGGTTAGAGGAGGTCAGATGATGCAGCCTCACTGCCCCTTTGGCAGCTACATACAAGGTACAGTGGGAAAGTTGAAAAGGGACTTCCTTCCTGGCCTGACTAGAGGGTTAATGAAGTCAAGGACTCAGTCATCTGGGAGAATGGTGCTTGGGTTAAAGGGAGTGAAAAAAATCCATGAATACTTCTGGCACCTATTTGCTGCCTTAAAGACAAAGTAGATTTTGATGTGGCCTGGCACAATAGCCACATCATCATTTGCAATATTGTTTCTATAGGAAAACTTACTATAAATCCCAAATTGCCTATCTTAGAAATGAACTCCTGGAACATGATCTGTTGGTAAGTTGCATTCCACTTAAGTATGCATGTGTGTTTTCTAGTGTTTGGAAATATACTCTGAGATCATGAGATGTGGTTTAAAAGCCATGGCCTAAATCCTACCCCTTAGGCATTTACTAAATACTTCCTAGGTGGTACAAATGGCTAAGCTGCTAACTGGAAGTTTGGAGGTCTGAGTTCACTCAGGTGCCTCAGAAGAAAGGTCTGGATAAACTTTCAGAAAAATCATTCACTGTAAACCCTGTGGAACACAGTTCTACTCTGACGCACCTAGAGTCACTATAAGTCAAAATCTACTCAATATCAACTTTTTTGGCTTTTGTTTTATTTTGTTTCTCGGTTATCTTGGTCTCTCCTCTATTTGATCAAAATCACTCCTAAGCCTTAAAAAAAAAAAAAAAAAAAAAGGAAGGAAAGAAATTTACCAACAGCATGGCAAGCCATCTACTTTTCAAACCAAAACAGCAAATCACAATTACTTTTCCCTTTTCCCTGAGTCACTCAACATCTTCCTTCTTTTAGTCATTAAATCATTCAAGTAAAAGTAGGAAAGCCTTAACTTGGAAACAAAGAGGAGAACAAATTTGCTAATTTTTGCTTTTAAATTTTATATAATAGTAGGCAATTTATGCAATTCTTTCTGTGCCTCAGTTTCTTGAGTTATGAAATGGGGATAGTAATAGTTTCAGTCCCTAGTTTATTTTTAAATAAGGATTAAATAAACTGAAATATAGAAAGCTCTTAGAAAACTGCTTGGTACACAAGGACTATTACATTAAGGCTTGAAATATTATCATTATTGTTATTTTCATCATCATCACCACCACCACCACCATCATCATCATCAGTTGGTTAGAAGAAAAGAAAATGTGTAATCACTACACTTTGTTAGCCGTAGTAGCTTTCTTTGGTCATTTTTCCCAGGCAAAAGGGGCCCGATTTGGGTCATGGCCCAGGCCTGACCATGCATGAGTCATTGGCAACCTCACCTTTAACACCTCATTGTGCCAGCACTGCACAGCTATATGGAGTGGTGCCATCATGTTGTTATTTCTGAGGTTAGGGTTTGCCCCTCTGATGAGAAGAAAGGTAACACTTGTGACCTGGTTATTTTCTGCAGCCCAGTGCAGAGGGGTATTTCCATAATTATCCATTGCATTCAGCACTGGAAAAAAGACACCAAAACATAGATTAGATTTGCTTTGACTGTATTCAACAACTGCTGACTGACTACACTCTTCAAATTCTGTGCCATGTGCTATAGGCTATGTCTTCTTTATATATTATTATTATTATTATTATTATTATTATTATTTTATTGTGATTTGGGTGAAAATTTAAAGAGCAAGTACACTTTCCATACAGCAGATCACATACACTTTGTCTCATGACATTGACCACAATTAAGCACAATGCAACATCTCCTTCCCACTTCCTCCCAATAGCTACTGCTTCCCTGTGTCCATCCCTCCATGCACTCCTACCCCCTGAGCTGTCTCCCTGTGCCTGAGCAGCTCTTCTTTCTCTCTTGCTTGGTCTCTCCAAGGAGTGTATCTACCTCAGGTAAATGCTCAACTAGTATGCCTGTCTATTGCTTGGTTGGAAGCCACAGGTATGCATTCAATTCCAAACCTGAAGGGCAGCTAGGGGCCATAGTCTCAGTGGTTCCACCAGGCTCCATAGGGCCAGCAAACCTG